AATTATTACATAATATATTAATAATATAATATAATTAATAACAGGTTATTAAATAAATAACTAATAATTAATATATCAATCATATATATTAATTATAATCCATTAATTAGTAAATAGTTGATAAATAAAAAATAGTAATTACTCAATTAATAATTAATATTAAATCATAATTAATTATGTAATATACTAATCAATACTAATTAATAATTGATAATTAGCCATTCATCATTATTTAGACAATAATTATCAAAAATTGATCATGCAACATATCAAATAATAGATTATTAAATAAATGTTATTAACTAATTAACTAATTATTTAATTATGTAAATAAAACTTAATTATTTAAATAGTAAATAGAATATTAATATATATTATTTATATACTAATCATTTTTTCCTAATACGCTTATTAATTACTTATATACTAATCATTAATTTGTTTCCTAATACATGTACTCAAAATAAAATTTCATAAATATAACCAAACACAATTTTACTTTTTTACTATACTCACAATAATTTCTTAGAAAACTAACCGAACGAATTTCAAAATCAATCTTAGAATAATTTTTAAAACAATCTCATTTTTACTTTTATACCGAAAACAAAGTCATTTTAAAAACATTATCAAACGAAATAAATTTAAGTACTTTTTTTATTGTCGTCTTTCAACCCCTATGAAAGATTCTCTTGTCAGCGCCATTCATAATCACGTACTTTATAATAAATATGTACTTTTTATTTTTTTTAAACTTTATCATTTATGTTAAATGTCTCGTGATCTTTAAAATGCCTATGTTGTATTTTTTAAATTATGAAACACCTCTAACTTTTCTCCCTCACCCTTATTCCGTGAATATTTTAGACAAAACTGCTGACATGTCTGTTAATTTTTTGGTTTAAGTATTTTATTTTGAGTTTATTGAATACCCTTTCCTCTAAAAATATAAATTAGATGCCAATTATGTCTATATTTACCAATTAGAGATGGTTAGAGGCCATAAAGAGGGGAAAAAAAAAGTGGAGCAAATCTGGTGAAAGAATTAATGCCAATTGAAGGAAGCAGCAACAACGGGGAAAGAGCCAACACTTATCATATGGAGACACAAATTGATTCGAAAGGTCCTGTAAGGTGTCAATGTGGTCTTGAATCTGTGATAAAGGCGGCCAAAATTGATCAAAATAAAGGGAGAGTTTTTTGGATGCAGCCTATACAAGGTAATTTTAAAAAGTTATTTTATTTCTTTTAACTTTTTTCTTGGAAGGGATTTGTTAGTTAATGGGGTTCTTAACGGAGAGGATGGATTCCTTTTCAATTTGATTGTGCGTTTTTCTTGTTTTTTGTTTTTTTTTGTTTTTTTTTTTTTTTTTTTTTTAAAAAAATTTTTGTTATTTATTTTTCATTGTTTTCAGGGTACGAAGAGATTTTTTTTTTATAGCACGTTTTTTTCTTTTTATGAATGCTAGTTAAAGATTTTTTTAGTTTTTAAGCTGATGAGTATATTACTGCAGAGTAAAAATGAATCTGGTTGTGGATTGAGTAGATGGGTTGATAATGCAAACAGAAAGTTAAAAAAAATAGAAAATTTCTTTTAAAAAGTGCATGAATTTAGACCTTTATTAGTTAGCTGATTTTAGGACTGTAGCTTGTTCACGTGTTAGATAATTATTTTATACTTCTTGAAATGTGTCCACATGTTCTTTATGTTTCCTGCAATATGTCCATGTGTCCTGTATGCTTCCATTTTATTTATTTTTTTAGTTATTAAAATGAGTTGGTCTTAGTCTTTAGGAAGTAGTTAGTTTCCTCAAAACATGTTGCAGATCATTGCGCGGATTTCGATCCATGATTTTCTCACTTTCACTTTGTTTCAACTTTATAAATGTAAGATTGAAAACTCAAAAAAGTAGAATTCCTTCTTTTTGCTGCATACCCGTATCCTTCTTCAGTACCAAACAATTCTTCAATCCTATATTTTTTCATCTTTAAAACTAACATTTGGTATCAAAGCTCTCTTCTTAAGGGATCTGTGTGTGAGTTTGACATGTCATGGAAGCCGAAGCCAGTTTCTCACCAATTGCTCCGACCGTGTTTGATGGAGAAAACTACCAGATTTGGGCTGTACACATAGAGACATACTTAGATGCTTTGGATCTTTGGGAAGCAGTGAAAGAAGACTGAAATTCCAGCACTACCAAACAATCCCACCATGGCACAGATCAAAGCGCAGAAGGAGAAGAAGACGAAGAAGTCGAAGGCCAAAGCACGCTTGTTTGCTGCGGTGTCATCAACGATTTTCATGAGAATAATGTCCCTTAGGACTATCTCAAGGAAGAATATGCATGAGATGAAAGAATTAAATGGATGCTTCTTGGGTCTGAGACGATTAAAACTTCAAAGAATGAAGGACTCTGAGACGATTAAAGATTACTCAGACAGGCTTCTTAGCATCGCAAACAAGGTGAGGCTTCTTGGGTCTGTGTTTACTGACTCAAGAATTGTAGAAAAAACTTTTGTTACAATACCTAAAAGATATGAAGCAACCATTACTACCTTGGAAAATACCTAGGATCTGTCAAAAATTTCCTTGGCAGAATTGCTTAACGCATTGCAAGCGTAAGAGCAAAGAAGATTGATGAGGGAGGATACAACAATCGAAGGAGCTTTGGCAGCCAAGCATCAAAACGTGGCCAAAAAAAAAAAGAAAAAGAAGGATTTTGAAGGAAATGGAGCAAGTACAGCATCAGCCAATGTAAAAGGAAAGAATGGAAATCAGAGGAAATCCTATCCACCTTGCCAACACTGCGGAAAGAAGGGTCATCCTCCGTTTAGATGCTGGAGAGGACCCGATGCTAAGTGTTCCAAATGCAATCAACTTGGACATGAAGCAGTAATTTGCAAAGGAAAAGCTCAACAGCAGGAAGTTGAAACCCAAATTGCAAATCAAGAGGATGAAGATCGGCTTTTTGTGGCGTCTTGCTTTGCAAGTAGTATTTCGACTGAAAGTTGGTTAATTGACAGCGGTAGTACCAATCACATGACCAATGACAAGGAACTCTTCAGAGATTTAAGGCCAACTGACATTACTAAAGTCAGAATTGGCAATGATGATTACATCTCTGTCAAAGGGAAAAGGGACAATTGTCATAACCAGCACTGCAGGCACAAAGAGAATTTCTGATGTTCTCTACGTACCAGAAATTAACCAAAATTGTTAAGTGTAGGCCAACTAATTGAAAAAGGCTTTAAAGTGATCTTTGAAGATAGTTTCTGTCACATTCTTGATGTCACGGGTCAAGAAATTCTCAAAATGAGAATGAAGGGCAAAAGTTTTTCTTTGATCCCATCAAAGAAGAACTTGTTGCATTTTCCACTGAAGCCAGCAACACTGAGATATGGCACAAGAGACTTGGTCATTGTCACTTGCAAAGGATGCAACTCATGAAGACAAAGGAGCTCACAGTTGGCTTACCAACCTTTGGAGATCACTTACCGAATTGTCATGCTTGTCAATACGGTAAACAAAAACGGAGAGCATTCCCAAAGTCAACCTAGAGAGCCACTCACAAGTTGCAGCTAGTCCACACAGATGTATCCGGTCCTCAAAGAACTCAATCATTAGCAGGTAGTCAGTATTACATTGCTTTCATTGATGATCTTACAAGATTGTGCTGGATTTTTTCTTAAAATTCAAGTCAGAAGTGGCTGGAGTGTTTCTGAAGTTCAAGAAAATGGTGGAAAATCAAAGTGGCTGCAAAATTCAAGTTCTAAGGTCAGATAATGGAAAAGAATACACCTTAGAAGAATTTTTTTTTTTTTTTTTTTGCGAGGAAGCAGGTATAGAACACCAGCTTACTGCTCCTTACACTTCACAACAAAACGGAGTTAGTGAAAGGAGAAACAGATACATAATGGAGATGACCAGATGTATGCTTCATGACAAGGAGTTGCCAAAGAATTTTTGGACTGAGGCAGCTAGTACTGCAGTTTTCTTGCAGAACAAATTGCCTACCAAGGCATTGAAGGATAAAACTCCATTCGAGGCATGGTAGGCTATAAACATTCACTCAATTTCCTTAAGAGTGTTTGGTTGTATGTGTTTCTTTCACGTTCCACAGGTCAAGCTTGATAAACTTGACAAGACGTCAGAACCAGGCATCTTCGTCAGTTATAGTTCTTCCTAAGGCCTACAAGGTGTATCAACCTCAAATAGGGAAGATAATTGTCAGTAGAGATGTGTTCTTCAATGAAAATGAGAAGTGGAACTGGGAACAGACAAAAGAGACATCCACGAGCAAGCAGAAATCAAGTCTTCCTTTCCAAACAGCAGAAGAGCAAGCATCAGAACAGTGGCAAGAAGAATTGAAAGATTATCCACCAATCCGTGGAACAAGACCGCTCTATCATATTTATCAGAGATGCAATGTGGACATTTGTGAACCTGCAGGTTATAAAGAAGCCATTAAAGACCAGAAGT